ATACACAAATCCCTCCTATGCTCAGGCTAAAAGAACCACTAAAGTTAGAGGCATTGATTCCTGTCTGCAAGCAATTAACACCTTCCGGAGTCATGCGTATATGATATGGAACAAGTTTGATCTGGATGGGAATCGGTTTTCTAGTGCTGGAAGTCGCCCGAGTAGAGAAAGAGTACATAGTGCTAACTCTGCTAGTTCGCGTTCCGTGTTGGATGACACTATCCGTCCCCTCTCTGTGAAGGAGCCGACCGAGACTCTTCCCAGTGGGGAACCTAATTTGATTGAGTCTAACCTTGATTCCCTTGCGTGTACTTTCCTCACCCCTGATATTATTTTGCATGACTTGAGATTTCTTTACAATTCGGGTAAATTAAAAAAACATAAAGCTTCAGCTTTGATGCATTATCTGGAGTTAATATTTCGTAAACTTAACTAATGGCCTTAAGGATTTTGCAGTGGAATTGCAGGGGTATCTCTGGGAAACTCTCTGAGTTCTCCAATTTGATTCTGGGATTTGATGTAATCTGTTTGCAGGAGACCTGGTTGGGTCCTCACTCTTATTTCTTTTTTAAGAATTTCATCGCTTTCAGGAATGACAGACCTGACGATATTAGTGGAGGTGGCACTGCCATCCTTTGTCGAGAGGATTTAGACCCTGTTGAGCTTGGATTCAATTTTGATAATAATCCCGGTGTCGAACTGACTTGCATTTCGTTCCTTTGCAAGAGGTTTTCATCCGAGAGATTGTTTATAATTTCTCTTTATAAACCACCCCACATTTGCGTGGGTGTAGAATGCTGGACCAATTTGCTGGAGTCTGTGTCTTCCGCCTTTGGTTCTAATAATATCTTGATAAGCGGCGATTTTAACACTCAGCATGAGTTGTGGGGATCTACGCGATCAAATCGTGATGGCATAGCTTTGTCCGAGGCGGTTACTGTTTCCGAGTTTGTTCTTCTTAATGATGGTACTCCTACGAGAATCTCCGTTAACCCGGAGTTTCTTAGTGCTCCCGATATTATCCTGGCCTCACAGGGGATGAGCTGCACCTGTTCTTGGACCACTTTCGATGAACCTTATGGAAGTGATCACTTCCCTATTGACATTCAGGTCAAGTTTAACCCTGATTCCTCGAGGGCTTCTGGGAGAACTAGATTGCGGGTCTCGAATTTGGACAGGGATCGCTTTGCTATCATGGTCGATGAACGGATGTCCGATTTCTCGACGGATAATTTGCCTGGTGCCTCTGTTTATGAAAATTGGAATGCTATCATAATAGATTGTGCATTACGTACTGGTGCAAAAATGATCGATTCTTCGGGATCGGTTATCTCTTTCGATCCTGGTTCCGATTCATGTAAGTCCTATCGTCCGAAGTGTGGGAGAAGAATTATTAATAAACCTTGGTGGGATCGTGAATGTGAAGAGGCCAAGACACGTAGGAGAGGTGCCTTCGAGTCTCTTAGAAGAAATCCCTCCAGGGTTAGCTTGGCTCAGTATAGAAAATGTTCTGATGACTGTAAACGGATTATCCGTAAAAGAAAAAGAGAAAATTTCACTTTATTCATTGATGAGCTTGGGAAGGATTTCGACCCTAAGACCTTTTGGAACTCAATCAACGCTTTTAAGAATTCTGCCTTTTTTTCGGATTACAATCCTCCATCAGTGAGTCTAATCAGTATCTCTAGTATCCATAATTTCATTAGCGACTTCTCCCCTCCTTGGGTTCCTAATTCTTTTGAGGACATCTCCCATACACCGCACGTTTCTATATTTGATAATAAACTTAGCTTTAGCGATCTTAAATGTCTAATAATCTCTTCTGATGTCAAAAGTTCTCCGGATCCTGACCTTATCTCTAATTTAATCCTAAGTTTATTACCGGATTCTGCATTATCCATATTGGTTAAGATATTTAATTTAATTTTAACTAATGGTTCCTTTTCGCCAAGCTGGAGGTTTTTTGATATAGTTCTCATTCCAAAGCCAAATAATAAGGGTTTCAGATCTATCTCCTTGGCCTCCAATGTTTTCAAACTTTTTGAGAAAATGATAAAAGATAGATTTGATAAGTTTGTAGAACTGGAAAATATCCTGCCAAATTGCCAGTTCGGTTTCAGGAGACGCAAATCCTGTGATGATTGTCTGGCCTTTATCAATTTGGAAATATATAAGGCTTTTTCGAAACAGGCCATGACTGGAGCTCTTTTTCTGGACATTATGGCCGCTTACGAAAACGTTAACCCCCACATTTTGCTTAGTGTTATTAATAGCCTTAGAATGCCTGATGGTTACAAGAAATTTTTTTGCAACTTTCTTTCATCAAGATATGTCAGCTTTTTCGAATCAGGTACCTTTTATGCCAAGAGATGTCTGCAACGGGGCATTTCTCAGGGTTCGGTATTGAGCCCCATTTTATTTAAAATCTTTGTGAAAGATATCCTTTTCCATATCCCGTATAACGCAGTAGCCCTACAGTATGCTGACGATATCGCCATACTTTTCTCCGACATTTGTTTGGATAGAGTTATGGCAGGTTTGAGGAGCTCTTTCGAGCAGATTGCCTCCTGGCTGGAGGGATTAGAATTAACCATTTCTCTACCCAAAACACAATTCATTGTTTTCCATCGTAAGAGATTAATTATTCCTAATCGGATTGTTCTGAATGGTGGATCTATTCCACTTAGCAGTTGTATCAGATATCTAGGATTCATCATGGATGCTGGGCTTAAATGGTGGTACCACATCAAGTCTTTAGGCGTTAGAGTCAAGATTTAAACATTCTGAAGTGGCTGTCTGGCAGATTCAGGGGGATCAGTCCTACCTTAGCTATTAACTATATTAATGCTACTATTGGTTCTATTCTCGAGTGGGGCTTTATGTGGTTCGTGAGCGCGGCGCAAACTTACCGCTCTATTATAGATCGCATGCTATGCTCATCTTATAAGATAGCTCTAAATATTCCTAAAAACTCGTCTAATCGTGTATGCTGGGCTTTCAGTGAGCAAAAATCTTTTATGAGGAGGGTCGTCTCCAAGTGTGATAAATTTATTGCCAGATCTATCCAGCTGCGTAACAATAAACTGATCAACAAGATCTCTACTTTTCGTGACCTGGTAAATAATCAACATATAACGGCTAGAAACATTCCTTTTGTGGTTACTAGATGGCCAACGATACAACCTTTTAGAAACTACCTGTATATTTGGTACACTTATCCCCAATATTCATATATCTTCCGTTCATTTTCAATTACGCATACGATTGATACTGATATTGGTTTGCTTGTCAGGAAACATGGTAACCCTAATCTCGCTTTTATCAATCTTGTTTCTTTGTACGGGGATCATGTTTACGAGTTTGATATCTTTACGGATGGCTCTAGGAACGATTCATTGGTAGGCTGTTCCATTTTTGTTCCCTCTAAGAACATTTCTAGAATGTACAAATTAAATCGTTACACTAGTTCTTTTTCAGCTGAGGCCTTGGCCATTTCCAAATCATTGGAGATGTCTTGGGATCATATTAATATATGCACGGATTCTTTAAGTGTTCTAATGGCCCTGCGCAACCCTGAGCCATTCAAGTTTTGTAAACTATGTCCTTTAATAGCGGATATAAAATCCAAGCTGTATCATGCTTTTGTAAATAACAAATGTATTAGATTTACGTGGTGCCCTGCCCACATCGGCATTTTGGGGAACGAGAGAGCGGATGTGATTGCTAGGAATGCCTCAGTTTATGGGGATCCTCTATTAAATAAGATTTCTTACAGGGATGTCTCTGCCGCACTGTTAGAATCTTATAAGGCCATTGACACCGAATTTTTGCAAGAGATTGATGTCGGGTAATTTCTATATGGATGGTTTCTTTTTGTCAGAAATCAATGTCTCCTTTTTAGCTAAATTCTGCATTGATAGACGATGGCTGGGCGTCATTTCGCGCATCATTGTTGAATACGCTTATACTAAGGCCACGAAATATAAATTTGGTCTATGTGATTCACCCGATTGCGATTGTGGATTTGCGTCCCAGGATACCGGTCACTTGTTCTGGTCATGTGAATTGTACAACAAGGAAAGAAAGGATTTTATTAATAACTTGTTTAAACTCAATCTTTTTGCACCCTTTTCAGTGGTTTATTTATTTAATAATCTAAATAGAAAAGTAATTAAAGAGATAATCAATTATTTGAACGCATGTAATTCTGATTTGTAATCTGATTGTTATGGAGCCAGCTCTCTTTTATCACATGAGAATTCTACGACCTTCTGAGATGTCGCAAGAGGGCGACTCTTTCCCCAGAGAGTCCCCCATCTATGCTTGTTAAAGAAACGTGGTACTTGGGTTCCCACGAAGCCTGAAATCCATCTGAGGCATAGAAGAAGTAGAAGAAGAAGAAAATCGGCACTGTCGTGCGAGCCGTCGATCGGAGAGGTGCTGCCCTATCGAAACTAGAGACCCTTTAATAAGAGTCTGGCCATCATCACGTATTTCGATATTTCGATTTCAAGCATTATAATTGGTCCGCCATTTTTTCTCTAATGACGTAGTAATATGACGTAATATCATGCGCAGTCCATACTATATGTTGCTATATGTCGATGATCTAACCTCATTGTCAGTCTGCATCGTGGTCGTGGAATTTATTGCGACCGTTACTGTCTGCAGTATCAGCAGTATACTCAGATTTTTGGTATTATCTATTAGAGGATTGTTATATTCAAATTATTAGGTAAGTATTTTTAATTTTACATTATTGTAAAATATCTGTATGAAACAATATAACCTTACGTTTAAGATATAAATTAAACTTACTGTCATCAGTAATAAAAACTTCAAAATTAATTATAAATTTATCCAGTATGTATTACATGTAATAGTTTAATAATAAATGTTATTTTTTCTGATTTATCTATAAATCATTTATGTAGTTATTGAATATTTCAGCAACATGACTGGTTGTGTAGCTCCTGACTGCACAAATTCTGACAAAAAGGGATTTATAATGAAAATTTTTCCCCGAGATCCAGTTCGGCGTGCTCAATGGGCAGCAAATGTTAATAGAAAAGAGTGGATACCTACTGAAAGATCATTTCTTTGTGAAGTATGTTCAGGATTATTTATACAATTGATTTATTTATACAATTATTTATACCTCATGAAGCATGTTTAATGTTTTTATCGTGACTCTAAAATGAAATATTTAAGATTTTACTATTTATTATTTCAGGTACATTTCGCACACGATATGTGGGAAAATAACCGAGTTGACGGAAAAAGAAAGCTTAAGATAAATGCTGTGCCAACGATATTTGGAAGTAAAGCCAAGAAGATCGTAAGTTCTAAAAATCAAAAGCATATAAGAGGCAGATGCAAATTTATGGAAAAGCATTATATATTTATTTAAAAATTGTAAATTAGTAATGGTAAATCTTAAATATTTGATTTCAGAAAAGTCACCGTGAAAACATGAGACATACTTCACTGAATGATGAGGTAGGCTGTGTTAACGAATATAATGTACCAGTACAAAGTATTGTACCAGTACAAAGTATTGTATCAGTTCAAAATGAAGAAGAAAATAACGATTGCGAGAATGAACTGCAATTAAAAAGTGCCAAAAGTAAAAAAGAAAATAGTGAAGTTAAAAATATGTCGCGTACAATAAAAAAACAGAATCAAATTATATGTGAACAATCACGTATAATTAAAAAGCAGAATGTTAGACTAAGAAAATTTAAAAAATGCTTGCTTACTGTACGACATGACTTAAAATTGAAAAAGAAACAAAAAGAGCAATCTAATTATACAGCTCTGTTCAGTAAGCTACAAGAAATCTTCACTGACGATCAAATTGCAGTTTTAAAGAACAATAAAAGAGCAAAGAAATGGAGCAGCAAATCGATCATGAAAGCACTTCAATTAAGGTTTTCTTGTGGCATCACCGGTTACGAAGAACTTCGTCGCCAGAAATTTCCTTTGCCAGGACTTAGAACGTTACGAAGAAAATTAGAAAACTTTAAATTTGAAAGCGGAATTTCGGACGATATTTTCAATTTTTTAAAATTGAAGGTGTCGAATTGGAACGAAATTGATAAAGAATGTTGTTTAGTATATGATGAAATCAGCATTTCATCAGGAAAATTTTTTGATAATTCTTCTCAAAGTTACATTGGTGATGTAACTTTACCAGAACATACAGGTATAGCGTCACACGCTATGGTATTTATGTTATGCGGTATTGCATGTCGTTGGAAACAAATTATTGGTTATTATTTTACAAGTAATGGGTTTAATGGTGCTACATTGCAACCAATAATAGTTGATATACTTCACAGAGCCAACTCAATAGGTCTTACCGTAAATTCCATTACCTCCGACATGGGATCTTGCAATCAGGGTTTATGGAAAGCGTTTGGGATTACGGCTGGAAAGTACACCAAATGTATAAATTATGTAACACATCCAGTTGACTCTAATCGTAATTTGTATGTTATCGCGGATGTGCCCCACTTATTAAAAAATTTAAAAGCGTGTATTTTAAATAATAAGTTTCTCTTACTACCTAAAAATATTGTACGTAAATATAATTTGCCAACAGATAGGGTACAAGCAAAACACTTCGAAGAAATAATTTTAGCACAAAAAGAACTTCAATTTTTATTAACGCCAAAATTAAGTATGAATGATGTCGATACGAAGAATAATTTCGATAAAATGCGCGTCAATAAAGCGAAAAATTTATTGAGTCATGAAATGAGCACTGCTTTGGAGTTTTTAGCCGATGAAAATTCAAAACCAGAATACATTGCTACAGCATTTTTTGTTAAAATGATAGTAAAATGGTATACGATTATGACTTCAAGGCACTGCTGCATTTCTTTGGGTACAAAAGACTTGGAGAAATATAAAGATACTGTTTCATTTTTAAATGAAATTATAGAGATATTTAGTAATCTTCATATTGGTAACAAAGGAGATTTTAAACCTGTTCAGAAGGGAGTTATTATTTCAACTAAATCTGTTTTAGAATTGGCAGATTATCTCTTTCGTGAGAGAAAATTTCAATTCTTACTGACAGGTAGACTTACGCAAGACTGCGTAGAGAATCTTTTTTCTGTTCTTCGAAGTAAAAATGTTACATTAAATGCTTTACAATTTAAAAATAATCTTAAATTAATTGCCACTTCTTTATATATGCGTTCAATTTCTCGAGCTAATTACGAAGAAGATGATGCACGATATGTAACAGGTTTTCTTGATGTAATTGCAGAACACAAATGTGAGTCTCGTAATGAATCAAATGCCAATCTATCGTACGAACCAACAACTCAGGAAGTAAAAGAATTGAATACTGTAGAATGTAATATTTTATATAGTATCGCTGGATACATTGTAACAAGCATTAAAAAAAATACAAAACTTTGTAAGCATTGTATTGGAAGTTTAGGTTTTACTCATCGAAATTTGTCCCAATATGCGCGATTAGTACGATTGCGAAGTTATAAAAACAACACATTGTTTTATGTAAACAATCAAACATTTCAGTTATTTAAAAAAATGGAGTATATGTTTAGGCGGTATCAGAAATCGTGCAATAACAATCGTGGTTACAAAAACTTTTTAGTTGCTACATTTTTAGATATTTTGAGTAACAGTCATATTTTGTTGTGTCATAATTTACATTTAAAGATAGCAAATAGATATGCAATTTACAGAATGAGAATAACGAATAACAAAACAATTGTTAAACGTAAATATTATGACAGTAAGTCAATGGCGATGCACAGTGCAATAAAATAAAACAAATTGTTACAGTGCAATAAAATAAAATAAATTGTTACATTTTATTCTTTTAATTTATTCCTTGATCATCGAATGGTTAAATTTTCACTTTGAGGTTATAGTGATAATATAGCGTATTCGATTTCCTGACTCGGAGTCGGATCTAGTCAGTAAATTGAATACGTTTATAATTATACGCATGCTCTGAAGCTACCCCCACTCAGATTAGAGAAAAAATGGCGGACCAATCAAAACGCTCTAAAATCAGATTTCTGATGGCCAGACTCTTATTAAAGGGTCTCTAATCAAAACCACGGACACCCGGCTGCCAGGAGACGTATTGTAAAGCCACTGCTCAAGCACCGTATATTACAAGTAAGATCGTCACGATACCAAGGCCTTCCCAGGAGTCGCGTTGTGCCGCGAATATTATGAAATCCGCTCAGTAACACCGAGAGAAATACCGCGGGAGGACCTCGCGGAGGAGAGAAATATCGCGTAAGTGAATGAAATAGCCCGTCTCGGGGACTCGCGCCCGGCCGCCGACAGTCAGCGAGCGGTAAAATGCCGCGTAATTGTTATCGTCGTTTTCCGCGTTAATAAAGTCGTACATGTATTCGTTCTTTCGCGTTAATAGAGTCATTTGTGTCGTGTCGTGGGTTGTGAGCGAGATCCGGCATACAGATACAGTGCGTGCAAATCGGGAAATTATGAAATTGGCGAAGAGTCTTTCGCACGGGCCGGACACCGTATCGTCGTGGGGCCGTAGGGTGGGCTCCGTGTGATCGCGTCGTGGCGTGCAGGACGTCTTTTGCGTTGGGTTTTGCGGACCGAGCGAGGTATCCGGCGTAATAGCGAATGCCCTTTGCGAAGCCATTGAAAGCAAGGTAGGTGCGCGTAAAGGCGAACTACCGGTTGCGCTATTATTATCTGTTTTGCGTAATGTATCGTTCCGCACTATTGTATTACGTTTCACGTCAATGTATCGTTCCGCGTTAATGTATCTGTTCCATGTTCATGCATATCTTGCTTCGATTTAAGATACGTGGATAGATCAGCCGCGTTTCGGTACCTTTCGCGTTAGTATTCCGCGTTAGAGCATCGAGCTATGTATCTTCGCGTTAATCCGTCGTTACGTTCCGCGGGAATGTATCTTGCTCCACGTTCGCGCTAAGAGATGATCTTCACGTTGATTCGCCGTTGTATTGTTCGCATTGGCCTAGTTTACACCGATCACTTGATACGCGTATTAAATAGTAAATAACTAGTAAATAAGTCTGATTATTGGCTGATCAGTTAAAATATACTATTTGATACGTGTATCAAAAGATCGGTGTAAACTAGGCTATTGTAATGCGTCGTATCGAGACGTTGCGTCGTTCCCGCGGAATTCTACACCGTCTGTCCTTTCTTTTTCTTTGTTAAATATACTTTCTACTGTTAATATGCTTTTATTTATTTCATGTGTGTGATTGCGCTGCGCTCCCTCTCCTCCTCTTCAGCGATCTGAACATTCAGAATTCACGCCTGAGAGATTTGGCATTTAGGCTTTAGTGTG